ACATTACAGCAGGTTGATTATTATTTTTTAAAATTTAAAATAATCCAAATGCAGTGATTATGACTATGAAGCTCTTATTTAGCTTCACGCCAATGCATGTCAAATTGTGATCTTTAAGGTAGTGCAGGTTTTTTTTTTTTTTTACCTTATTTTGAGCTACTGGATGCTCATTTATCTCTTCTTTGAGCAGATATCCAACCACAAAGACAACAGAAACTTTGTTGTGGATTTCTGTCTCTTAAAAATGTAAACAAAACGTTTCGTCCCAAACACACGTAGCCAACGCTCCTCTTGTGACTGAAGGAAGACGCTAAAAGACGATGTTGCTGGAAGCCGCATGTGTAACGAAGGGCAAATATCGTGTTTTAAATCAATTTATTTGTTTTAAATTATGACTAAGGACCTGCTTTCTGGTTTATCTGCTTTTGTTTCTCTGGAAGACCCCTTCACATTCATCTCTTTATGATCTTACGCAAAATATGTTCTTTTGCAGGTTGTTTTTGACACAAGCTGCAAATCTTTTTTTTTTCTTCTTTTGTGGTGTTTGACAAATAACTTTAATATAAATACATTATTCCTCTGAGAAAAGCTCAGAGCTAGCCTCTGAGGGACTTATGAGGACTTTCATGTGAAGTTTGAAGTGTTGTTCTCATTCTTCCTCTGTTCTCGCTGAGTGTGTATTAACCTTTACTCTGTGTTGTAACAAGATCAAGATGCATTCTGGCCAGGACTTTTCAAGCTTCAACAGAAAATAAAGTGGATTAAATCTGATCAAATAATTTATTTTAACTCATTGCATGACTTGTACCGTTTATCCAAGTGAGGTAAATTCACAGTATGCATTCTTCTTATTTATGAAGAATAATTTTAAGAATGGGTCTTACAATGTCCATGAATTAAAGTGATGCAGTGCTGCCCCTCCCCCTCGTGTTGCTGCACACAGCTGTTCGGCCTGCAGAAAGCAGCCTGCTTCATTAAAAAAAAAAAAAAAACGCTACATGACCAGAAACGACTCTGGAAAGCAACCATCAGCTTGCTATAATTGTGAATCTACAAATAAGCAGGTTTATTTGCAAGTTACTACAAACTTTTGTGCTGACATATATTTTCTCCGAATCCAAAAACTAAAAAACGATTTTCATAACTACAATGGTCGATGTTATTTAACCATTACAGTGGAAAGTTCTTCACATTTTTGCTTAAAATCTTAAACTTCCTCATATCATGTTACTTTTATTCAAGATTATCATATTAGCCATACATGAGTATTTTCTAAATTTATCTAACAATGTGAGTAAAATGCAGCTTTACCCCATTTGATGTGTGGTCATGTATACATCTCGTGTTTCTTCCAGTGCGTCAACTTACTTTTTTGTTCTATTCTTTTCAGCAAATCGGATTTAGCCGTGACCTTTGACACCAATCATCTTGTTGCTTTCTGAAGCTAAGTCCAGCCTCTCTCTCCCTCTCTCTCTTTCTCTCTGTCGCTGCTTTCGTTTCTGTTTTACCTTCACCGGCTGCAGACGTAACGTCCGGATAAATTCATTCAACTCCTCTCAAAACTCATAAAAAAAACAACAAACAAACAAACAAACTCCAATCTCAGAAACGATATGAAATCAGTGAGTAGCTGTTTAAACTTGTGTTTTAATTATTCTCTGCTTCATGAAAAGTAAACAGAGCCACAGGGTGAACAGATGAAAACTAAAGATTCATTTAAATTACATAAACAGTACATCTTAGGTTCTGGAGATCTAGCCACCTGTAATTAGATGCTTTTTCTTTTTTTTTTTAACTCCAAACCTGCTAGATTTTTTCCTCCCCCCAACTAATCTAAGAACGATAAACATCCTCCACAATCACCCATCATATCTCAAAGTCAGCTAAACAAATGTCTTAGTATAATCTGCTTTGGGGGTATTTGTCAAACATCTGTATAGACTTTACATGTAACTAGGTTTAACCCGCTGCACTTTCAACTTAGGTCAAGAAAGTGCATGTGATGCCCAAATCCTTCACTTTTTCCTCCTAGTTTTATTTATTTTTATTGTTTTATTTCCATAGACAACGCATACAGGAACATTTAAATACCTTGTGAGGAAGCACAACCCATTCATTTCCACTCAACCATCATTTTCAGCACCGTTTCCTTTTAAATTTACTTTTTCTTAAAAAAAAAAAAAGTATTTTATTTTCTTAAACAATCTGAACTGCAAACGTGGCACCCGATGACTTTTCATCACACTAAATGAAAAACCAGATGTTGTGATGGTCCTGGAAATGTTCATTTGCCAAAAAATAAAATAAAAATCTGATTTAAATTATATAAAAAATATAACAATAATAATACAAACTCAGTAAGAGCAACCAAATGTAAAAGGATAAAGCAACAACAACAAAACAAAGGTAGGCACAAAGTCAAGAGTAAGCTTTCACATTATGCCAGTATGACCAGTTAGACCAGTTCCATTTAGAAAGAGGGAATCCATTCATTAAGGCATACCTGATGACCATATTCAAGTTGTTAAATAATTCAATCCCAGAATAATATTATCACTTATAATTACATTATGTCTCAGCAATTATCACTTCATTTTACATCATAGCAATTTGTTGTCTAGAAAAGTAAAGCAAAGTTTATAAGTCACGTTTTCTCCACCATAGTTCACATTTTCTTTTTCTTTTTTTTTTTACAACTTCAATCCAGTTTGAACAGCTACAAGAAAGTCCACATTTGCATTATGAATACGTTACATTTTTTTAATACATACACACATACAGCAGGGGAGGCTTGGAAGTCGCTTGGCACGTTGTCATGCTCGACCAGAGTCTCCTACAATCTAAATAAATATACAAGACACAGTAAAACAGGTCTTTCCCCTCGTACGCCTCTCCCTTTAAATAACGGAGCCTCCGATTAGCGCAAATCGTCCTGCAAAAAGGAGAGCATGCTCAGTGCACCGACGTTTAGGTTCCTAACTCACTCCTCGTATGCTGGTACCAGTTATTCACAGTGACTCTAAAAGAAAATTACAGGAAGTTTGTACAAGAAATAATAATAAAAAAAAGAAACAGCAGTCTTGAGTGATGTTTGGCATCGCTTTTGTGTGTGTGTGTGTGTGTGTGTGTGTGTGTGTGTGTTTGTGAGAGTTCAGTTTATCAGTTTGTGGGTCGGTTGTTTGTTGGCAGTCCAACCCTGAACACACCGACTCCATCAGCAGTGGAGATGCATTGATGAGGGAAGGCGAGCATCAGGGCTGGAGTTCAGATCTTATGCACCTTCTTATGTCGAGCAAGATATAATCTTATAATTTTATGCTAGGCTGAATGGAGTTCGGTGTGTGGCATGTCCAGTGTTACACTGACAAAAGCAAAGGTGCAGGAATGACACGCAAGCACACAAGCGTACATTTAGGTTAGAGATGCACCGACTGGACAACTATGGTCAACTTCCAGTTTCTCTTTAAAAACTATCGTACGAGAATATATGCAAAAAATGACTCGTCAAAATAGCTACCTTCAGATTTCCTGCTGTGAATGGAGAATGCCGGTCAGTTGGGCATTTCGTACCTGTAGGATACTGGTTGCTTTAAAGTCGACTGTTTTGTGTACAAAATGGCTCCTGAACAACAGAAGGGTGCTTAGTACCGCTTTGACAACCAATGACTCAAAGTCAAATTTTAAAGTTAAACTATATCAACCAGAAGGAATTAGGGAACAGAATTAAACCACAGTTGTGAACCATAGTTGTAGAAAATACAAAGCAACAAAAATCCGCCAACCAAAATGGAGGAAATGTTTGAGTGAAGGTACGTAGTGGGGGGACAAACTCAGAAACGTTAGTGTGACAAAACGTTGAGAAAATTACGGTTTTTGTGTCGTCTAACTTTTCTGCTTTGAGTCATTAATAATCAAAAGTAGAAGAAAGATCCCAATGTGTGTGTGTGTGTGTGTGTGTGAGTGAAGCCATTTAACATTAACAATCATAAATTAACAATTAGCATTCAGAAGCAGCGTTCAGCTTCAATGCACCACAAATCTGGAACAAACGTCCAGAAAACTGCAAAGCAGCTGGAACCCTGAGCTCCTTTAAATCAAGGCTAAAACCCCACATGTTTAGAGTTGCTTTTGAACCACATTAAATTGAACATTGACCAACATATTTAATGTATATTGATGTTTTTAATCATTTTAAAATGAAACGTCTGGCTGGTTTCTCACTTGTTGAATTTTAATTGTGTTTTTATGATGAAAAGCACTTTGAACTGCCTTGTTGCTGAAATATACAAATAAACTTGATTGATTAGTTGATTAGCTTGGTTAGCATGGCTAGCATTACTCAAATCAGTCTCTTCTGGGAGCTGTCCTCCTGTCTGCCACTTTGAAACAGCCGAAAATTAGTGTTGATGTTTAAAAATGTCTTTAATTTTATGGTGTTGAACATAAATGCAAACAGCAGCCTCTATGCATTCCCTATGGTGGTGATTCTCAAACGTTTTAGAATAAAAACAGCAATTACTGTTACTGATAATAGACATTACTAAGTTTTTCCACACAAAATGACGTTTTAAAATAGTGCAGCAGCAATTGTACTTTTCAGTTTGATGTGTGTTCATAAAAAAACAACAAAGAAACATTTTCTTTCTCATCCAGAGCACAGACGTTGAAAAATCAGTTTGAAGCCAGACAGATTAACAAACAGGCCGTTAAATTAGAATTACAAGTCAGAAACTCTGAGATGTCTCAACAGCTCCATCCTCTGAAAACAAAATGGTCGCCTTAATTGCATATAAAATTCACCAGCAGCTGCAATAAAAATGACTTTATTTGCACCTCTGATGACATGGATTTTCTTAAAACTGCAACACAACCTCCTCAAGTGAACGCGTCGCTGCAAATTATATACGAACACGTTGTTGTTTTTACTGCGTTGCTACAAGCAGTAACCGTGGTTACAATAAGCAAATCAAGCTGGTTTTTCAGCTTGAAACTTGTGGTTGTTTTTGATTACATTCCCAGCTCAGAGTTCTGACTTAAGAGGTGAAATAAACACGGCATCAGCAGGTTTTAGTTTGAGAACCACAGCGCCGGGGAGAGCAGACACCAATTTGTAATCAGAAATCCCCACTGGCAACATTTCCAAATCCAGCATGTTCTCTGACAGACAGGCTGAAAGCTCAAATTAATAAAACAAACAATAAAACTTCTGACTGACGTCGAGCTTTAGTCAGTTTAATATTTTATCAAATTGAAACAACATTCCTCTTGTGAGTTGACCTTTTATAGCAAACGGCTCATTTTTGCACCCAAAATAGTCGAGCTTGAAAACAACCATAGTGGAGTGAAATGCAAGCACCAGACGCCATGTTTCCATTTTAAACAGCTTCCTGCACCTCTGCGGTTCCTCCATCTACTTTCAAACGCCTCGCTGACACTGACAATAGCTAACTTTGATTATCATTCGGTCAGTGATCACTTCCACACTGAAGAGTGATGCTAGTGAGATCTGTTAGCCCTTAGCTGCATTCGTTGATTGGAAAAATGTTGCATTTCTGAGGTTTTAACAGGCTGGTCACCAGTCAAGTTTGGTAAATATCAAACTCATTTGATTGTGATCACAATTAGGTGAATCGTTTTTTTTTTTGTTTTTTTTTTTGGTGCATCTCTAATTAAGGACATTTCAATGCACTGCTGCCACTCTCCAGCTAAAGCAAACAATTACCCAAATAGTTACATCAGAAAACAAAACAAAAACAATAAAACACAAACAAAAATGAATTTAAATACAGTTTTCTGCATTGTTTCACCATCAGTCCAGGTTGCTCGTTCTCACACCTAAAGCTATTTTGCGGGCTGAAAAATAAGAGCTGCAGTTCAGGCCAGCAGGAGGCGATCTTCTACAGTTATGGCTGCTACAATAGTGAGGTTAGAAGATAAAACAGCTACAGGCAGTCATGGAAGGAAGCTGAAGCAGTTCGTTCCTGCCAGAGTCTGAGTTTTATGCTGCTTTTCTTTTCAAATCCAAAAAAAAAAAAAAAAAACACCCCAGAAGAAACAAGCAGTTTGAATCTCTGTTTTTTCAGTCCCCTTATTTTCCAGTTTTGTTTCCTAAAAGCAGAATTGCCTAAATACAGTACGACTAAGAAGTGAAGATGGAGGATAACGTCCTTACGTAACAGACCTCCCTCAGTGAGCATCGTTACATGTTTCTAAGTAGAAGGCCGCCTGCAGTAATTCAAATATTCATGTGTGTTTTAATTTCAGGCCAACCTTCCTGTCAGTGCCAGGCAGAAAACACACTCAGACCCTGCGACTACATGTAGCTTTACTACCGTTCACATATATTACCGCTGATACTGCTTACTATGCTTTATACACTTTTGGTCATTTTGTCCATCAGACACCACAAAACATGCTATACAGTGTCTGTCTGTCTGTCTTAATTGAAACCTCTTCTGTAAGTGCTACTTAGCAGAGCTTGTCAAGTATTTGAAGCAAGAAAAACAATCATACACACACACGCATACACACACACACACACACCAAGAGAAGCACTCTACAGCAGCCTGTGAAGGTCAGTCTATACTTTTTTTTTTTTTTTTGTCTCTTTTGCATACTTCCTCCCCAGCAGGCAGGACCACACTTGCCTGTGTGTTTACTTTTGCAGCTATCTATACACGATCAAAGAACGTTGTTGGGCATGGAGGCGCTCAGCGGGATTTGCATCATGGGGACCTAACAGGGCTTGTTGACGTTGCACAGCAGCTCAGTGACTTTGATGAGGCGGGCCACTGTGCTCTGCGACTCCTCCTGCAGCCGCTGGTTGTTCTGCCTGAGGCTCTGCACCTCGGCCTGCAGCACCGCCTTGTCCTCTTTCTCCTGAAAAACATCGGCACACAACAGAGAACAGAAGCTGTCGCTCAGATTGCTGTGGCAGGAACGAGAGGTGGGTGGCGACAGGTACAGTGATGGCTCGGAGGAAGCTCGCGGGCGTGCGCAAACAAGAGACGCGACAGTCAAGAGCAGAGACGCACAGCAGCAGCAGTGAGGAGGAATAAACTCGCAATCCCAAAGCGCCAATCAGCCGATCCGATCAGTTCTCTGACGGGAGAGATTTTGTTTTGATTCGAGATACCAGACGAAAACAACCAAGCTTTTGCTGACTTTTACTGTTGCATATTGTTTATTAAATCAGTTCTTTGTGGGCTGACGGTCAGATGAGCAAGCACCTTATCAGTCACAATGTGCACAGGGCTGCAACTAATGATTATTTTCATGATCGCACATTCTCATTGTTATTTTGCATTCACCAAACATCAAGGCTGATTAGTAGCGGACGAGCAAAATCAAACATTTCCGGAGTCCCAGGTGATGTTTGGATTGATTCTGTTGTTGCAAAACAGGGAAAAGCAGCAAATAATCACATTAAGTTAATCATACAAACCTTGTGTGCCCACTGTGTAAAAGGTAAATAGAAACAGAACATCAGTTTAATATGTTATATAAATACGTAATGCTCTAAAATGTCAAAATTGAGACGCAAGATCATTTCAATTCATTTTTAACTTGATGCCAAACCTTTGAAATTAACAGAAAAAAAAAAATCACATCCATTGAACTTCTTCACACATTACAACCATAAATAACAGTTTATGTTCTTGTGGATTTTACGCAGTGTATAAAGAGAACAGGATTTCAAATGTTTCTAAATAAAAGATCAGAAAAGTATGGTATGCATTTGTGAAAAGAAAGAAAAGAAGAAAGAAATCCCACATCATAATGCTGCTATTTCAACTGTAAAACATTTGAGCTGTCGCGTCTACTGTCTTCTACTCTTTAAGTCAAATAAATTTGGCCACTTTTAGATTTTGAACCTAAATGTGTGAGTTTGTGAAAGAGAAATTTACAGCAGTAAGTTGTGTTAACTTTTATTTTAAGAGTTGAATAAACTAGTTTTTAAGTTAAAAAACCTGAAAAACTATTTCCCAGAATGCTTAGCAGCATGTTTTTGTATCCTGAGATGGAAGTGCGTTACATTGATCTGTCTCTTGTGTTGTTAAGGAAAATGTTTATTTTAATGTCCTGTTCACACTAAATGAACTGAATTCTGATGTTTAATAAAATTCATGAAAAGATCAGAAATTTTGTTGATGCAATTTGAAACAAGAATTTAAATTGCTCTAACGTAGAATAAGTAGTTATTTTAATTTTATATTGTGGGTGAAAATAATAGACAAATGTGTGCTGTTTTTTTTCTTGCATATTGTGAAATGATTATTTGATTTGAATTAAGATAAAAGTCACAATTCAAGATTAACTAAAAAAACGTTTAGACAACTCATCTCTTGTTAAATCAAATTCATGAACTTTAATTTCTGAGTTAAAACAAATTAAATTACATTTGCAAGGCAGCAGATGGACTTTCATTTTCAAGTTAAATCAAATTCAAATGTTTTACAGTGCAGTGCGCTTGTCTGGTTTTCCCTAAAGGGAGACGGAAAACCAGCCCTCTAACTGGTTTCTTCCAAAAAGGCCAAAATAATGAAGTGCACAGCAGATCAAGTCAACAGAGTCACCCAACTACTGAGATTTCACACTATTTTACGTTAAAAGTATTTCAGTAAAGATGATTTGTTTGTGTGAAAAGCAATGGAAAAACTGCGCTGTGTTTTGTTTTTCAGCAATAGAATCACATGATTTTTAATTCCTTCCTTATCTCTACTTGTGCTCGATCAATAAGGAGTCCTCCTGATGCTATGTCACTGAGCATGTTGGTCTTAAAATAAAACTTCATGCAGGACATTTCCTACGAGAAAAGTCCAACTTAAACTGGTGATACTTTTGCCAATGCAGCTGAGAATCCATCCTTTGAAAATATCACGTCGCTGCTAATTACTCCTACAAGCTTTTACCAGATTGGCCAAGTCTTTTACCAGTGTCATGAAAATATGCAGTTGGCATCAGGTTTAAAATGAACTCGCACAACTATATATCAAAGTAAAAAAGAAAACGTAATTGTTCATATTTCATTTACAGGAAGCCAAATATTACTGTCATTTTTTTTAAGTGAACTAAATCAGCAGTTCTCCAGGTTTTTTTGAATCTCATTATAATTATTCTTTAGGCTTTTGCTGCTTTTTTCACACATTTTTTTTTTAAATCAGACCTATCACCTGTCCAAAACAACAGGCTGTGCAATGTGTCCCTAAAAATGAGGCAAATAGACAAACGGAGGACAAGAAAGGAAGTGTCAGACATAAAAACAATTTACACCAGGAAGAAAATGCAGCAAAGACCCGACAAGTTTATCATTTACTGAAGACTTCAGCTGATAACTCTTGCTTTGGTTTTAGTATTAGTCAGATTATGCCAGCCAGCTTTGTTAGTTTCCAAGGGTTTAGCTTAACAAATTGTGTAGCTTGTAGCAAAGTTTAGGTAATGTTTCTGTCTTAATGAGGTCAGACTTATGTGTCTGAATTATACCTAATTACACCTAACTTTGGGCATTTAAATAGTCAATACCTAAATTATTATCTACTGTAAAATAAACTCAGAAGAGCAGAGGTTAAACAGAAAATATTCTCATGGGCTGTGACGCCGTCTCATATCTTGCCGTGTTTTGTTAAAGATTGTATTTCACCAAGATTTAGGTAAGAGGAAATAAAGGATTTTTTTAGGTCATCAAGTCCTGATATGTATTTGAAATAATCATATAATTTCCAATAGTGTATAATTGGAATAAAGGGTGTAAAGGTCGCCAAGTTCTGCTGGGTCAGGACAGAGCTCTATGAGTGTCCCTGGAGGTGAGATAAGTATTAGGTGAAAAATAAAACAGAAAGTAGGTCATGCTGTCAGGTTTATGTTCTCTTTCAAGCATCCAGCATCCTGAGGTAAGTAAATCTTCATCAGCAGAAACAGTGTGTTTGCATAGTTTTGTATGAGGTTAAATAATGGCATTATTGGGTTATTGCTGCTTTGTTTGAACTGTAATTGTTCAGATTATATTAGATGAAATCTGAGAGTCGAATTTGTCGCCATGTACAAAAAATCGAGGTAGCCTGGCCATAAGATTGTTTATGCTGTGATGTTTCAAAAGGCTTTGGGAGGTGATATTGGAGATATTTACCTGAACTGAAATTTTACTGGTGATTGTTGGGGAAAAATGTGAAAAAAGTTGTATTGCTCAAACATAATGAAAAGGGAATAATGGTCCATGAAAACATAATGAAATAACAGATGGCTCAGCACTTTTGTCATGTATTTTTTCAAGAATGAAAACTTTTTCTTCATTTTAAATTGTAAAAAGTTGTTAATTGTTTATATCCAGTTTCCAAAATTACGTTTTACACAGCGTGCTTGTTCTCTCTTTCGGAAACAAGGTTGTAAATGAATCAATGATAGTCAAAATTAGACATTAAACTTCCTTTAATGATGTACGTGTTTGAGGAGCTTTTCTGTCATTAGCATTGAGAGGTAAAGAGTCGGTTGATTGTTCAGAAAAATAGCCATTATTTCAGTAAATAGTGAAAATAGTCATAGTTGCAGTCCTCATCAAAGACTTCAAAATAGAATTGAATTGGGAGAAATACCATGCATCATACAGACAAAGACATACACAGAGACAGTATTGGCAAAAATAAATTTTCAACACAAGGGCCACTTATGTTTGGACGACCAAGCAGCTCCATCTGCTGAGTAAGGCCATGTTGTTGTTTTTTTTTTTGTTTTTTTTTGTTCGTTTTAAATTTTTTTAATTTTGTTTTAGTTTGAAAAGTGGACTTTGTGTTGAAATTGAGCTTTTTTTTAAGGCAGCTGGATCTTATGTCCAAAAGAAGCCTTTGAGTTCATCTCATACAGTTTTCTGAGGCATCAACAAGAAAGATCAACAGAGCAGCACAGACTCATGTTTGGTGGAAATGTGCAGGAAAGAAAGTACTGAAAAAAAAACAGCAGGACGTCTCATAAATACATGTAAAGTAGTAGAATACGGGGAAAATTACAAAAATTAGGAACGTTTCTGTACACAAAATAATAAATAAATAAACGTCTTTTTAAAGTGTTTTTTGTTCTTTTTATAATTTAATACATCTCTACAGCGAGTCAGCAGGGGACCTGAAGTGGCTCGTCGACGGCAGGATTTCTAACGGCTGCATCAGCAAACAGAAATCTTCTCGCTCAAGCGACAGAAGCTGAGCAAAGGAAATGTGTTTCTCCTGCCTGCTGACTCTTTTAGTGGAGCTACAAAATACTGTCACAGAGAATAACATTCATAGAAGTCAAAGCACCTTTTGCAGGTCGTCTTGCAGCTTCTTCAGCATGGCCTCCAGCTGCGACACCTTCTCCTCCAGGTGGCCCGGAGAGTCGCTGCAGCAAAAACAAGCGAAGAGCAAACAGCTGAAGGGATTTAGCTTCCCAGCCCACGAAACCCATTAATGAAGGAAGAGAAACTTCCTGTCAGCCGCTACAACAAACGAAGGCAAGGAGACTTCTTAATTTGTTTGATTGGTGCTGCGGTCTGTGGGACTAAGCTGAGGACTTAGCTCCTTTTACCTCTAATGAAAACAGGAACACTTCAGAGGTCAATTTTCATTAATCACCGACGTCTGACAAGGAAAGCCAGTGTGAGTGACTGCTCTCATCCTGAGCTGCGTTTCTGCAAGACTGCAGTCATAAATAATGACTGCGCCCTCCGGAGGAGCAGAATAATAGCACGGTTGTGTTGGTGGGGGACTCAGGTTCACCACGTTTAAAGCTGAAGTACATAACTTTTACATAAAGTTCATAATCATGCAGACGTGATGCCTGTTCTTCTTTAAGAGGAGAATTTTGTTGGAAAATTCTGATTCAATCTGCTGTCCTCTGCAGCACAAACATGAACAAACTGTCCCGTAGATGTAGACACACGAGTCTTAAAGCTAAACGTTAATGACGTTGAGAAAATTAAGAGGTCTTAGGCTGTTGAGAAAATACAGACATGCTGAAGTCCTTCACTCTGTGTGTGTTTTGTCGTGACCCACCTGTCCTTTGAGTCTTTGAGTTTGCCGTCTGTCTGATCAGCTCCACCTTGGGAGGAATCCCCGGCTTTGCGGTCTGAGAAAAACAACATTAAGGACATTATCATCACATTGACAACGTGGAAAAGGCAAGGTAGGGCCATTTTATTTACATGGCACTTTTTCAGCAACAAGGCAATTCAAAGTGCTTTGACCTGAGTTAGAGGAAATACAAACAAAATAAAAGAAAAGCTAAAGAAAATCAAAAAGTACTCCACAATTTGTTGATCTGAGGTAACGAGTAGTTTCCCTAGATATCTAAGTTTGTTCTAATGGTTACACGTTAATTTATAATCACACAGGATTTTATGTAAAAGATCAAAAATTTGTGGGTCACATTTTTAAAAAACAAAAAAATCAGAAAATGTGATGTGGATTTGTGTTCAACCCCTTGTTCCGAAACCCCTAAATAAAATCTTGAACAACCTACTTTCGTCATAAGTGACCTTACTGCTAAATAAAATCCAGTCTGTGTGTAATTTAATCTATGAATAAATGGAAATGTTCCTGTGAAGGACTGTGGGGTTTGCTGGAGAACATGGCTGAACAAACTCAGCAGACAGGTCAGGGAGGAAAACATGGAGAACATTAATGCAGGATTAGATGATGAAAAAATATTCCTAGCTTTTAACATCTACAGAGCTCTGTTCAATCGTTTATCTGAAAATGGGACGAGTATGAAAATCCATGAAGACGTTTGTGTCTATACCTAAAGTGACAGGCTGGACATAGACAGGATTCACCAGAAAAGAAGCAAAGAAACTCGGAAGGAGCTGCAAAAACTCACAGCCCAGGTCGGAAAAATCGATCAACAACTATTAGGCAAGCATTTTATGAATTTGGCCTTTATTAAAGCGTAGCAGTAAAAAAGCCATCGCTGAAACTGCACTGCAGCATAAGCTGCTCTGTTTGCACTTTGCTAATATTAATGCAGCGGACACAGCAAACATATGGAGGAGTTATGTTTGATTAGATGAGACCAAGTCTGAAGTTTATGGACAACCTGCAGAGCAGAAAACTGAACGTCACCCTGAAAACGTTATCATGTTTTTGGACGCTTTTTAATCTGACTGAGCTGGAGGTTTTTGACAAAGAGCAATGAGAAAAAAAAAAAAGAAGAAAACTTTTGGTGTTTTAAGCTGGTAAACATTCCCCCAAAAGTCTTGTGATAATTGTCAATTTTACTCAAAGGGGCTGAATACACATGGACACCACATTTTTAAACCTTATACTAATATGCAGGGTTTCCCCCAGTCTGGCGGGCCACCAGGCTTTATTTGTTGCCCCATCAGGCTTATTTATTTAAGTTTTTTTAAAATGTTAGCATTTTTTAAGACTTTCTAGTTGGTGTTCAGATATTAATTTTCTAATAACACAATTATTAAGTGATATTTTCAAATTTCATGTCAACTTTAAACATTTTTTAACCCAAAAACACGGCGGTGCGCTGGATGAACGACTGCTCTAGCACCCAAACCATCGGGCTTAACAAGTTTTCTGGGGGAAACCTTGAATATGGTTAGCAGAAATTTGAAAACAATTTTTCTTTCAACTTCCACTTAAGTGATACTTTATGATACCCTCATCCAAGTTCACATCATACAATGTTTAAATATGAAGAAATATGAAAAACCTTACAGGGCGTAAATACTTCTTACATATAGTTGCTTTTATTTATGTGAAAGCATGTTGCATTCCCAGTTTAGTTCAGTAATAATGGATGAAATTCTGTTTCTCAGAGTTTCTGGATAACTGAAGCAGGATAATCTGAATCTGAATTGGCATGTTCTCGCTTGGGACTTCATTTCTTTTGGTTCACATCTTTTCCTAGTTATTTACCACATAGCGTGTACTGTATGCTGACTGACCACAAGAGGGCAGCAATAATAAGTGAACAGCACAGGAATGACGCTCTCTGTCTTCATGGTGCATTTAACTTCAGGAATGCTCTTTCAAAAAACATAAAATATAAATTATGAACCGTGCATAACCTCACCTTCTTTGGACAAAGCCTCCAGGATGCTGCGGCAGGCTGTCGCCAGGTCAGCAATGGACTGCCACTCCTCATCTGTCGAATCTGTCGTCTCAGAGAGAACTACAAGAAAAAAAGAAAAAGAAAAAGAGAATAAGAGGTGAAGCTCTATCATCATGATATATGCAGTATTCTGTGTGTGGTGTATATAGGACAGAAATGGGACTGCAGATGTTGCATGCATCTGCGATGCCTCTGGTCTTGCACTGGCAGAAATCGGCCGCTAGGAGGCGGTGTTGCTTTGATGCTGGACTGCAGCTTGATGCCAAATATCCCAAATCAGGAGCAGGGTGTTTTTGAGGCCATGCCTATAAAAGGCTTGATGTAAATGATTAGTGGAAACCAAAACCAAGAAGGCGGAAGTAAGCTTAACTTAATTCAGATTTCTTTCAATTATGTGAGTAAACATTAAAAACTGTTTTGTGTTTTGCCCTAAAAGCCCTACAGTTGTTACACTTCAGCTCTCAAGCACATCTTGAATTTTACAATTGAGCTTAAAGTGGTGTTGACGCATCTGAAAGTCCTGCAGGCTTCCTGTTAGCGGGCGCTCTGCGAAACAATGAGAGGAATCCGAGGAGGTGATGAGCAATCGTGCTCTCATGGGTGCTGAACGAGGATCTCAGCAGAGGCAGAGCAGATGGTTCAGGAAGAAGGGGATCCTTGATTTGGGTGGGGAGCGGGCCCCGCCTGAAACTCCACCCCTCCCACCACCCATATGTCCCCCCTTTTATTCCTGCCCGTGGTGGAGCGGGGCAGCAGAGCAGGGGTGATATTAGATTAGCGGCATAGCGGGCAGCGTGTGTGAAAGAGGAGGAACAAAGAGGACACAGCGAGCACTGCAGGGGGGATAATGAAGAGAGGGATTTAAGGCAGGACGGGACTAAAAAAAGGAATTTAAGGGTCAAATCAGGCAGAGATGATTTGCAAACATGTGTAATCGTTCCATTTTGGCATCGTTTGAGCTGCTGTGCCAGCTGCTGTGTTGTGATAAAGCTTTGTTTTGAACTTATAATCGGGTTCATAGTGTTTCTCAGCACATATTACCTTCTAAATTCACTCAAACTGGACATCCACTTTGCTGGAAACCCCCAAAATATACAGAATAAAGAGAAGGGTTTCCTTATAGATTTCTTTTGTTTTTGCTTTTCTTGTCACACTTGAATGCTTCAGACTTTATCAATTTATCAAACATAAATAATGTGAGTAAAGACAAAGAGCAGGAAATTATTTTATTCATTAAGGGAAAATGGCTAACCAAACCAACCTGGTCCAAACTGAAACGGTAAAGCTTCAGTTTTCAAATCATGAGTTCAGCTGAAAGCTTTGTTAAATTTGACCAGCAGCCCAATTACTACCAGACCTAATGAATGAAGAAAGCATTTAATAGAAGTTATCTGACCACATGCAGTAGATTAATAGCAACACTATCCAAATAATCTCAAGAACAGATGCTTAAAAAAAAGGTTACAGCAGGATTTTTTACAATTCGGGACTCCAGCAAACCCCAATGAGAGTCATAATCCTAAAAAGGAGAAACACTGAAACAGCAGTGAACTTTCAGACAAGTGGATCACCGACCAAAAATACTTCAAGACTGGGTCAAATCCTCATCCAGGAGGTCAAAAATAACCCAAAACAGTGTCTAAAGAACTGCAGCGCTCACTTGAGTCACATGATTCAACAATAAGAAAGTGACTGGCGATAAATGGCGCACATGTTACAGTTCCAAGATGAAAACTGCTGCTGCTTGGCTCGTCTCACATTTGCAAAAAATAAAAAACATCTTGACTTGAGTCCTTAAGCTTTAATATGGCCGCACTAAAACAATCCTGCAGGTTTGTTAATTTGAAACATTTAGGTTTGACTAAAAAAAACAAACACTGCACTGTACTGAACGACCTTCATGGAGTTTGTAGATGATTTCTCAGAAATAAGAAAGCCCTTACTCTTGGTGATGGAGTTATGCAGACTGAGGGCTCGTGAGTTTCTTTCCGCTCGGTCTACACTCGATAGCCGGGAAGATGATAGGGACGAGTCACTCGCTGAAGCTTTGTCCTCGCCAAAGTCAGCGGCCATGAACTAAATCAAGAAGCAGACAGAGGTCAAAGTTTACATCAAACGTGTCGCACAAGCGTCAGGGGAAAACGCAGCTCAGGTGTTGTGGTCGACCTGCTCGTCTTCTGGGGGAACTTTAGGCTTGACGGCCAGGATCAGGTCAGGCGTGGCGTCCCTCAGCTCCCCGACGTTCTCGTAGATGTGGCGTTTCTCCTTCATCATCACGTTGTCGTACACGTGTCTGTCCATCAGGCAGAAATGTAGCAGGAGAATACACAAAAGCAAATCTTTTGATCCAATCCAGTGGTTAAAACCAAACCTAATATCCAGGAGAGCTTAGGTTGTCAAGGATCAAAAATAGCATGCGATAAGTCCGGTCAAATAATTTTGGTTGTGCTTTAAAAGGGTGATAAAAATCTAACTCAATATGAGGAGAATCTAAAATTATCTGCGTGAGTGTTTCCTTTTCCTCCCCAGCAGCTGACAAGTGTGATTAAAGAAATTAAACAGGCTGACACAGATTCTTTGATACTGAAGAGGATGAGAATTAGACCAGAGTGCAGACGACGTAGATAAGTACTTCAGTGAAAACAAAGGTGCTGCTGCGCTATCATCACATTTCACAATACGGCTCCGTATTTTAAAATATCTGCAGCTCATCTAAGCTAACTGCAGGTCCTTAGATGCTTAAATTTGATCTGTTTTATTCGTGGAAAAAACAGTGTTCTGTTTGGGATCAAGGTTTCCCCCAGAAAAGTTGCTAAGCCCGGTGGTTGGGGTGCTCAGCAGTCGTTCATCCAGCGGCCCGTCGAGTTTTTGAGTTAAAAAATGTTTAAAGTTGACAGGAAATTGGAATATATCACTTGATAATCATGTGTTATTAAAAGATTGGAAGATTAATAGTTGAATACCAACTATAAAGTCTTAACGTTTTTAAAAAAACTTAAATAAATAAGCAATGCTTAGCCTGGGGGGGCACAAGTAAAGCCTGGTGGCCCGCCAGGCTTTTGATCCACTGGGGGAAACCCAGTGGTCCTCATGTGTCCAAGTTTCAATTATCTAACCTTTCGTTCAAGCTAAAGAATTGAAGTTTTTGTTTACAGCAAAAAAAAAACAAAAAAAAGACTTGATTACGTTTTAAGCTAAGTAATGATTCAGCAAATGATTGTGTAATGTACTTTGAATTTTTTCTATTTCAGAACAGTAAAAAAATATTTCCAGTTTTACAAAACAAACATGAATCTAGATCCAAGTTCAATTAAATCATAATTGAAAAACTGGTTTAAACAAAGTTTTATCACAATCTGTGGTTGATTTTAAAGCAGCTAAATTAAGCAAACAAATGTACAACACATGTTCTTCTTAGTTTTAGTGAAGCTTACTCATCACAGGTGTCTGTGTAGGACAGCTGCTTCTCCAGAGAAACGCTGCGGGTGAGCTGAGAGATGCTGATCTCTTCGCTCTTATTGGCTGGCTGGTCCTGCAGAGACGTAGCCCTCAGCAAAGGTAAGGCGGGCAGTGCGAGGAGCGGGCCGGGACTCTCCTCGTTTTGCCCCCCGCCGCCGTCCATCTTCAGCTCATCCTCTGCGAGCTGATCTTCCTCCTCCTCGTCGACCCTGTCCGCCTTCAGCTGCTCCTCCTCCACCTTCTGCTCCTGCTCCTCCCTCTCATCTTCCCTCTCATCCACCACCCAGGCCACTCCCGACTTGTCCTCGCCGGACTTGCACTCTGCATCCTTGATGGCTTTCTGATAGAGCTCAGAGAAACTTCTGCAAAGCAATAACAGACTGCGTGAGAACAAAGCCCCCGAGCTTTATTGCATTATGACTTACAAATTGAACAAAACGAAGGCAAAAGCAGAGCATTTCCTGTGAGCCGCATCTTTCTGCCACATAATTGTGGTAATTTATGTTTTGTGCCTCAGAAGGAGTAATGCAGGGTTGAGCACGATTAAATCTCTCCTGCCAGCTTTGTGACGTTATTTGGCGCAGTAAGCAGTAGAGATGTCTGGCTTGATAATGTCTTACTTTATCCCAACAACTCTGTTCACAGCTGTTTCTGCCGTCGCTCCGCTGTCAGTTAAGCAGAAACGTCCTGGGTGCAGTCGGCCAGGCCGTGTCAGTGTGATTAAACATCATTAAGAAGGATTTACTGGTTGCTGGCCAGCTGACTACAGACTGTCATTAGCAGCAGAGAGAGCTGTGACCTATCCCTGACTCTTTTCTTTTTCTGGACCATCTTGTCCCACTAACTCCCTCCAACTCATCTGCTGCCTTGACCATTGCAGTGTGGCCACCTCTTGGGTTCACAGTCTGTCTCTGACGGGTAGAAAGACTTCTGTCCAACCTGCGAGGTTTGCCATTCTCATCCGGTGGGATGACGGTGATGTGGATCTTGTGTGCCGTGCGGAGAAGCCTGCTCCTCTCCTCGGGGCTCAAGTGGACCAGGGAATGTCCGCACAGCCTCACCACGCGAGCCCACAGCTGCAGGCCTCCGCTCTCGGCGTAGCAGAACCTCTGCAGGTCCGTCACGAAGCCCTCCTCGTTCATGAGGAAGCCTGGCTGCCCCACTCCGTCCCGCAGCGGGGTGACCTCCAGCGCCTCGCAGCCCCGCGTCACCAGCTGAAGAACAGCAGGACACGAGTGTGAAAATGCACTATAATGTTTAATGTTCCCATTTTGTCATATTGTAGCCACAAATTAACTCTGGGGGAACTGCAGAAAGCTCCCCAGCACCCTCTCGATGAGCACCACCGACTCTACATGAGCTGTAGCTCATGTAGAAGAGTCTACCAACAAAACAACATCAGTCATGCTTCCTGAAACATGACTGATGTTGTGTTATGTTAATCTAATTTTTTTGCACAAAATCATTTTCATATAGTTAGATTTTAGGTTTTAGCTCCTTTCAGGATGAGCCGGGCTTTTTGTCACTTTAAATCCAAATAAGCAGCTGATGGCCACGACACCCAGTTCAATGTTTACACTCTCATGTGAAAATGGCTGGAAACGGATGCGCAATTATGCAACTGTACATCTTTGAAAAGCAAAAGTGGAGCCTACCGCACAACTAATAAGAATGTAGTAAGTGGTTTCTGGATAGAAAGTCAACAACAAAATACTTATCTTTTCCAGCAGCCATTGTACAACGGTAAAACCAACTGAGCAAAGATCCTGGAGCTACGTAGGGGTTGCTAGGTAACAGTGTAGTGTGACTCAACGATTGGAAGGATTTTTAAACAGCTCATTTTTCAGACACCAAAAAACATTAACTTCCTGCCAAAAAATATCTGGATATTTTTTTAAGAGCTTGGGCTATTCTTATAAACATTTGAGATCCAAATGGAAGTAGAAAACTCTAAAATGTGAAATTTGCATATTTTAGAGTTTTCTACTTCCATTTGG